TACAGTTGTCATTTCTCCTTCAAATTAAGATAATGACAATTTATTATTGATCTGGAGATATAGCGAAGACTTAAATTTTTCTATTGGAATAATCTTTGTTATGACTCCTTAAATAGTTTTAATACAAGAATTTAAGGGAGTTGTATAAATAAAATTAGAACTTTTGGTTTTATTTGATTTTTAGCCAAAAATTATACAACCTTAGAAGGCAAAAGCATAACAAGATGGATTTAACATTAAAGAAAATAAAGAAATTAAAATTACTAATTTTTAAAGTTTGGTTTAAATTTATTAATTTAAATTTTATTTAGTATCATGAAATTAAGCAAATACGTGAACATAATGAATTAGGATTTGATACGATTTAAACTTTTTAAATTGTCATTACTTATTGTTGTTTTAAAGTTTAATTTGATTGATTATTATTCATCTCCACAACATCAACAAAAATATCTCTCAATTTTTTATCAGAATTTTCTATTATAGAAGATGATTTATCCTCTAAATACTTTAAAATGACTAAAGCATCATTTGTTCCATTTTCCCAATATTTATTTTATTCATCCTATTTATTTTCTATTTTATTTAATTGACCTACAAATTAATTGAATTATTAATTATTTTATTAACAAAGTTCTTTTTATTATTGCTTAGCAAGTTAAATTGATGCTATTTTGACTTCATTTTCTAATTCTGAAGGACTTATGATATTAAAACATTTTAAGATATTATTTAATTTATTCAGTCTAACCTTAAATTTATTTTCCTTTTTAGATTCGATTGCATAATCGAGTGCATCATTTATAACATTAAATACCTCCCCTGCTACTGGAATAAATTCTGCAACCTTTGATCCAACATTAAAAACCTTCTGTACTATATCTAAGACTTTTTCTGAATTACTTTCAATCATAGCATCTCTATTAATTTAATATAACTCTGAAGAGATTTGCTGCATTGCCTATAAGTAATAATATAATTTCCAAAATATTGCTTTGTAATAAATAAATTAATGTTTATTTTCTGATAATTAAAGTAATTTCATAGATTCTTATATTTGAAATCCATCCTATTATTTCAACTGTTTATTATCATCTTCTAAATTAGTTATTCTTTCGTTCTATTAAGCGACTGTTTATTATAATTGGATTAATTATTATTTAATCAATTTCAAATCTTCTTTAGTTAATTATAATAAGTCTAACTCTTATTGTTTTTCTTATGGCTATTCTGAATCTGTTTATGTCATCAATTATACTGTTAATTTTCTTTCTACAAGATTAAATTTATCTTTAACATCAACTAAAGTTTAGTTTTTTGATTCAAGTTGAGTTGGCAATGTTAAAAATTCTTATCTTAAAATATTGATATCAGTTTAAATTTCTTTTAACAAAGTAATCTTTTATTTTATAAATTTGATATTTGCCTCTGATAAATTCCATTTTTCTTGCTTTTCAGGAGTGATTTAGTCTAATAATGCAAACGCTTGTGTATAATAATTCAATGAGAGATCATAATTTAACCTAAAATAATAAAGATCACCTAAATTGGCTATTATAAGAGGATTATCTGGTTATAATTTAAGTGCTTAAAGAAAATCTTCAAGAGCTTAGTCATATTAGTTATTTTCTTTATATAGATTTCCTTATTTCAATTACAATTAATATTACCTCTGTTGTTAAAATTTTTAGCATCTTTAGAGTCCAACTCAATCGCCTTATTATAATCTTTTAATGCTTGATCCAATTTCCTCATACTTTAATATAATATTCCTATTTAATAAAAATTTCTATTACCTCTGTTATTATAATTTTTAGCATTTTTAGGATCCAATTCAATTGCCTTGTTATGATCGATTATTGCTTAATCTTTATTTCTTAAACTTTAATGCAATAATGCTATGATATATAACAACCTTTCTACCTCTTGAACTATAAATTTAAGCAATATTAGGATCTAATTCTATGGCTTTGTTATAATCTACAAGAGCCTCTAATTTATTTCCCAAATTCTAATATAACATTCCTATCCATTTTATATTATATTACCTCTGTTATTATAAGTATAAGCATCATGAGGATCTAATTCGATTGCCTTGTTATAATTTATAAGTGCCATGTCTTTGTTTCCGAATTTGTAATATAGAAGGCCTAACTGTTATGATAATTTAAATACCTATATTATTATATGCTTTAGAATAATTTGGATCTAAATCAATTGCCTTTTTATATTCTAGGAGCGCTTATTGTTCATTACCAATATCTTCAAAAAGATATCCTATTAAAATAATATAATTATTACCTCTATTGTAATAAGAATTAGAATCATTAGGATCTAGTTCAATTGCCTTATTAAAATCTAGAAGTGCTTAATCGGTCTTACCAACCTTAGAATATAGAAACCCTATTTTATTTAGTATTTTTACACACCTCTGTTATTATAAATGCAAGCATTATAAGGATCTAATTCTATTGCTCTATTAAAATCTAAAAGTGCTTATTCTTCCTTTCCTATATCATCTAAAAAATTTCCTATTAAATTAAAAAATCTGGGAACCTCTATGCATATATGCATTAGCATTTTATGAATCCAATTCAATAGCCTTGTTATAATCTTAGAGCGCCTAGTCTTTTTCTCCTTAATTTTTAAATAAAATTCCTATTCATCATAATATTATGATACCCCTGTTACAATATGCCAAAATACACTTATCATCAATTTCAATAGCTTTATTATAATATTGTAATGCATTATCTTTATTTCCAATTGAGTTCTTCACACATCCTAACTATAGAAATCTTTTTAACCTATTCTCATGTAAGCCAAAGCATATTTAGGATTAATTTGAATACATCTTTCGCAATCATTTAAAGCTTCCGTAAACTTATTTTTCTTATAAAATCCCGTAGCTAAATTTTATACTATACATTACCTCTATGGTAAAAAGTTTCTTCATTTGTTGCTCCTAATTCAATAGCTTTTGTTAAATCTTCAATTGCCTGATCATTCATTCTTTTTTTCAAATATAATTCCCCTGAAGTTTTAATGTAAATAAGTAACCTCTCAATACTAAAGCCTTAGTTTCTTAAGGATTGAGCGTCAAAGCTTAATTTATCAATTTTAAGGCATCATCTATCTTATTCTCTCCAAACATAATCTAATTAGCAAATCTAACTTTATATATACCTAACAATTTTAATATAATTCTTAGATTAGTTGCTAGTTCTCTTTATATTCCTATTAGTTTATTAATTATTCATTTGAATCATTTTACATTTTAAATAAAATTATTAAAATATTAGCTGAGAAAAATAATCTTTAGAGTTATGATTAGTTTGAAATTCTGCTATATTTCAGCTACTTAATATTCCTTATTGTATAATTCAAATAGAAAGTTTTAATCCTCATAAAAATTCCAAAACGCGAATCAATTCAAAGAGTTTCTAACAATTTTTAGTTTGAACTAAAACTCTATGTCTTCAATATTACAACTTGCATATATTTTTATAGTATTTAATATCATTAATAAGCCAAATCAAAAATTTAATAATAATAATATTAATCTCTTGCACAGATGCAATATTATGAATTTTGACTGATAATTATATTTTGAATCAATCTCAACCATAATCTTTTAAAATTAATCCCAACCATAATGGCTAAATTTTCAAACAGAAAATTATAAAATAATCAAAAAAAAATTAGTTAATTGCAATTCTAAACGTTATAGATGAATTAGATGAGCAAAGTTAAATTACTTACATTAATTAACTTAACATTTAAAAAATAAAAATGTAATTTAAGATCTATTTTTATTTATATTTATTTAAATAATCTGTACTAAAAGGGAAAAAATTGTTTTTATTTGATTAAATTGTAGTTGAATTTACTGAACTTAATTTACGCTATTCTAAATATAATGAAGTTTAGAGTAGTTAAATTAGCCTATTCACAATAAATAAAATTAAAAAAAGAATAAAATTAATATCATTCTATATTATAGAATTTAAAGAACAGAAATTAATAATAAATATCAGTTTTGGTGAAATAAATATAAATTATTTAATGAAGATAGAAAGAAATTTCTTTATGAAAAGTTTATGTTTTTGAGATAAATAGAAAATTAATTTTTTTTTTCTCACCACTTATTTATCATTCTATTTACTGCTTAAATTTTTAAATCTTTTTTGGCAAAGGAAGATTTGAAATAATAAATTTATCATTTTCATTATTAATAATCATTCTCTTTTATTTAAAATGCTTATAAGTGGTTAGGATATCATTTTTTCATCTGTTCATTTTTCTCTTTTTTTATCTTCTTTTAGCAATAATTATCGTATGTTTTCCAAATTTATTAAAGCACATCCAAAAATAAATTAATAGCCAATATAGTGCAAAATAAACCTATATGAATCCAACCAATAAGTATTAAGCTCTCTTAACTAAATTCAAAACTATAAATTAGAAATGACCCTATTATAATTATTAAGAGAAACTCTCTACATATTAATTTTACCATTTCAAACACACATTTCTATGGTTTAAACTTGATCAAGTAAGTTAAAAATAAAAATGATTGTATAGAAAGTAAAATAGATTATGCTTCTGGATAATCAATTAATTTTACAATTATTAATATATAGAATAAGATTCTGTAAATTTAAAATGACTTTAATTATAGAGCCCAAAAGTGAGTTTTTGATTCTTAATAAAAATACTTCCATTTACTTTCATTTTTTATTTTTGATGAAGTAATTGATAATAATTGGATATTAGCTATAACAATAAATAATAATCCACAAATAGCATTAACGCTGTTAAAAATTTCAAATGAAGTATCAAATTTATAATTTGGAAATTATAATGAAACACTGAACATAAATTAATGTAAAATAGCATAGTATACCCTAAAAACTCCAACAGATAAATATTCAATTTTAGATATTAAACACTTCTTTTATACTTTTTTTTAAAACAAACGAATAATTTATATCATTTTCAAATTGTTTTGATATTTATTGGAGAGTTTAATGATTAGTCTTTCTACTCTTTAAGAAATTAGAATACAATAAATTATGTAAGTTAATATTGATGCTATAACAGAAAAATAGCAACCTTTTGCATTAAATATATAATTTTGGTTTAGAATGTTTTGAGGATCTTGATTTCGTATTTGATTAACTTAATTTGATGTGCTCATGCCTTGTAACTTTATCAAATATGAATCTACTCCAATATAATCAAAAATTGGTTGTAATGAGACTTTGGTGTATGTATTCAAAAAATTTCTTAAATGAGGAGGAAATTAGTATAACATAAATTTAAGATAAGATAAGGACTATAACAAATCCAACAAATTAAAAAAAATAATTGTGTTTCCTGTTATCAAAGCTAAACTAGATATACTTGCCATAGAATACATCATGGCACCGTTGAATTAAATAATGGAAGTTAATGATTATCTTGTAGATTATGGTAATACATAAGGTGTGCCTAGATTAATGTATTTTTCGTTTATATCTAAACTTAAATCAAATTAATTAATTATAATGTTTTTATTTGCATAAACTTAGAGAACAGGATTTGATACAGGTTCATGAAATTCAATTAGGACTTAATATTTTGGGTTTTTTAGATTTATTGTAATATTTTAAAAGGCTCTTAGAATTAATTCATGTTTAGTTTCAGGAGTAATTACAAACTATATTATTTCTTCTATGGGTAATTCTGCCAGAACTTTAACTTATTAACTAAAAGTTAATTCGACAATTTGAGTTGAATTCGATATATCAGAGAGGATATTCAAATTAAATTCTGGAGCCAAAATAAATGTACATACACTGTATGTGCCATTTTCATTTATACATTAATATGAATCTTCTACATGACAAAAAGAGGAGCATCCATCCCCTCCAATAAAATTTCCATCATCGCATTCTTCATTTTCAATTAACCCGTTTCCGCATAAACTTACACATATATTATCGATCAGTTACTTATTTTTTCCACATCTTAAATTTTGATAATGTATTATATTTTAGTTCATCAAATCAATATCTTAATTATTGAGATTCAAATTAACTTAAACACATTATTATGATTCGGCATCCAATTAATATAAATTATCGAGGCATTTTACGCATTATTTTTATTGGCATTTGAGACAACCATTCGAACATTCAAATTAGCATTCATAACATCCATCAAATAGAATAATATTTCCGTCATCACATTCCTCTAAATCTTTTATAACTATTCCATCACCACAAATTGGTTGACAGGATTAATTCTTTATTTCCCAACCTTAAATTGCACATTCATAACATACTCCTTGTCTACAATCTGTGCATTAAACTTAACATTCCAATTAACAATCATAGCAACCATCAAATGGAATAGTATTTTAATCATCACACTATTCATTTCCTGCTATAACACCATCTCCACAATTAGTTATGCAACGTTTTTCATATAAATACCAACCTTCAAAATTACATTCTAAGCAAAATTCTTAAAAGCATTTTGTGCATTATTATTAACATAGATATTAACATTAACTACATCCATCCCAGTCAATTTCATTGCGATCATCGCATTACTCTTTTCCAACAACTAAACCATCTCCACAAATAGGCTTGCACTCTCGAGAAACCAGATCAATTTCCCACCCTATTTCTTCACATGTAAAACAAATTCCTTTTATACAATTTATACATTCGCTTTAGCATTATATTTAACAGTTTTAACATTCATAACCGTTTATACTGTTTATAATTTCACATTCCTCATTTTCTGCAACTATTCCATCCCCACAAGATGAAATACAAGTAAAATTATTATCTAAATAATAGCCACTCTGACATCTAATACAATTGTTTTCATTGCAAGTTTCACAATTCTCAAAGCAATAGTGGCAATGTAAATATGGAGATAATTTAAGTTAAAATTGACAAAAACTTAATGGAACTTCTTTTAAATTGCATTTCTATTAAATTTTATCAAATTCATAACCCTCTTAACAATCAAAACATACTCCTTAAATACAATTAAGACATGAATCCTAGCAACTAAATTAACAGAAATGACATCCATCTCCTATAATTAAATTACCATCATCACAATCTTCATCATTAGTAACAATTTGATCTCCACAAACTGAATAACATAAATAATCAATTCTATTGTATCCTTTTTAACATTATAAACAACCAAGTCCAGTTGTATCACATTAGTTGCAGGAACCTTGACATTTCACTTTGCAATTGATACAACCCTTGTATGGTAATATAAATGATGTCTCACATTGTTCACCAAGTACTATTTTCGCATCTTCACATATTGGATTACATATTTTATCACTTGAAAGATTATATCCAGTAGCACATATATCACATCTATCTTCTAAACAACTGGTGCAAATAGTTGAAGATTAACATTAAAATTAACAAGAGGAACTACATCCATCATCATTTTTAGTATTACCATCATCACATTCCTCTGAAAAGAACCCGTTAGGATCTGTTACAACTAAACCATCTCCACACACATTTTTACATTAGTAAGAAGTAAAAGTAAAAGCAAGAAAAAAACCAGTTCTACAGAAGTATTTGCAATCCTTACATCCATCTGTATCAATAAGATTACCATCTTCACATTATTCATTTCCAACTATCAATTCATCTCCACATTTTTCCTTACATTACCAAGGAGTAACCGTTATATCAAGATACCAACCACCAGTTACACATTCAAAACATTGTCCTTTTATACACTTAGTGCATGAAGGTTAACATTAATACTTACAATTAAAACATCCATCATATTAAATAGTATTTCCATCTTCGCATTCTTCAACTCCTGTAATAATTCCATCTCCACAAACATCAGGACAAGGTAAAGTAGTTGATTAATCACAAATTTAGCAATGATTTGGACATTAAAATTAACAATTATAGCATAGATCGTCAAAATTAGTATTATTATCTTCGCATTATTCATAACTTTTTATTTGTAAGTCTCCACAAATAGGTTGGCATTCTCCAGATACTAATTGATATCCAAGATCACAAAAATTACAAGTACGAGTATGCCATATTTACTAATTATCATTACATTATTTATAACATTGGATTAAAGATACATCCTCCATATTTGGGCAATCTATAATTATTAAAATCATACATACTTGTACAAATATTACTTAATTCATAATATCCAGGTACACATGTACATTTTAACTCTTTTAATATTCTATTTAAATTATGATCACATGTTAAACAACCATCAATCGTTCTTCTAAAGCAAGTTAAGCATGATGAATGACAAGGAGAACAGGCTTTTATTGCATCTTAATAATATGAACCTGTTGGGCATCTACATATTGATCCTATTTTTTCAATATTAAAAATGTCATTGCAAGTTAAACAATCATTAGAAGTAGGTCCACTACAAATTTTACAAAATTTATGGCATAGCTAGCATTAAGGATTTGATACAATTGGATAATATCCATCAATGCAATTACATTACCCATTTTTAAATTCCCTATAATTACCACTTAAACATTCTATACAATAAGTGGAACTTAAACATTAATTACATTCAATTGGGCAATCAAAACATTAATTTTCATCTTCATATTGATTGATTTTACAAATACATCCTAATTTAGTTTAAATATAAGTAGGTTAGCAAGTTTAACAATCTATTTTTGATGTACATGTTTAACAAGATAAAGGACAATTCAAACATTTTAAAGAATCTCTATCAAAATATTAAGTAGTTAAACAATCTTTTTAAGAAAATCTTACAATATTTGAATCATAAGTACTATTCCATTATTGACATGTATTCCAATCTAAACATTCTAAACAATAAGGTTAACAATAATGAACTACAATATAATAATTATAAAATCCACAATAAGCATAAACTGGCTCATTATTCTATCCAAAACACTCCCAATATATTGTTAAACTATTTTTATAATGCTCTATTTATTCATATACTTTATCAAATTTAGATCCATCAGGGTAACTATTAAAATAACTTGCAGATGATTTAGAAACTGGTTCATTATTTTCAATTGTATATATAAATCTTCCATCTGATTAGAATTATGGTCCATAAACTATATAAAATGCAATAGTGATGCTGTGGTGAGGTTCAATTATATTATGAATTCTTTAGAATTTAGCTTAAGCCCAGACAAAAGGCCCTCCAAAAACTCTATAATATTACCATTATGAATAATAAATATCTGATCCTTTTAAAAAGTTTGATCCATTTTGAAAGATTAATGTGTATTTTTAATATTAATCAGGATCATTTGCTTGACTTGTATATTCTTAAATCAAATATTTAGAATCTAAATATCTAAAATATATATATACAAGGTGTTTAATCATCATAATCTTAACAATATTAACCAATTAATTTCTGATATGGGTTTTAACAATAAGAAATGCACCTACCATCCCTATATAAAAAATATCCACTTATACAAGTCTTACAGTTAAATGATACTTCGCATAATAAACAATTTTAAATACAATATCCTGAAGTAAATTAAACTAAACAATTCCCCATCCTGCAGAGTTATCACTAATTTAAATAAATAATTACGTATAATTTCCAACTGCAGAAAATATAATTGGAGATTTAGGAATATCTAAATACTAAATTAAATCATATTTCTGGGTTACAGAATTATTTATATATGAATTTTTTTGATCTGCTTTATATATTTTCAATTTATGTGTTTGAATTCCAGAAGAATTTTTGTAAATGGATCCAAAATATGTATTTAGATACCAGAATTAAATTTAAATATCCCATAAAAGTTCTAGAAAGGTTATGGGGAAGTATCGATATTTAATGAGTCATATATAAGAGACCACTTCAGATTTTCAGGATCAAGAGGATTCGATGATGAAAATTAAACTGAAGCTATTATGGAAACTTAAAATTTATAAATTGAAAAATATTTACTTGGATAACTTTAACAGAATCCATTAAATTAGATTGGAGAGACTATGTCACAAGTTTATTAGCATCCTAAATATTTTGTATAATATTAATTTTATGGACAAGGCGGACAAATATTATTAATAACCGATCCATGATAACATTTTAAGCATTAATTGAAATTTGAACCTGTACATTAACTACATGATGGATAACATGATAATATATGACGGGAAATGATTATATTTTTAATTGAAACTTATGTATCCCCTGAACCTGTCGAAGTGAATTAGAATTTATCCTATACTGTATTTGTGAGTGTAAAATTGATAGATTTAACATCACCAATTAAATTATCACAAAATCCTTTTGTAATTATTTAAGTTGCTGGTGAAGTATAAGAATATGTGTATTGAAAGGTATCACCTATAGTAAAAATTACAGATTAATTTGACCATGTACCCTAAAAAAATAAATCAAAATTTATAAAGCTTCCATCCTCAAATTTAGTATTAAAATAATATTATGCTGAAGGTTTGGTGGAATTTAAAGTGATATAACTTGTCGAAGGTGTTGTACATGTGATAAATTAAGCTTATGCCATTAAGTATTGCAAGCAATAAAGCCAAAAAGAATGAAAAATATTGTCTAAGCCATTTCGTAAAGTATAGGGTAATATTAAAAAGTAGAAAATTTAAAACAGATTAAATATCATCAATCCAGTAATATGCTTAAATAAATTTTAATTATTAATAATCAATAAAATGAATTAGCTAAATAACATTTTAAAAGTTCTAAAATGATTTAGTGTTTTAGAGTTTCAATTTGATAAGATTAGCAGAAAGTTATTTCCGCTTTTAATTTTACTTTTGAAATATTCTATTGGTTTATTTTAATTTTTCCTAATTTTAATATACATAGAAATACTCGTTAAATTTTTTAATCATCAAATTATTCCATTAACAAATTTTTTAATTAAAACTTTGAATAGATTAACTCTTAATTGATAAGGTTTTTTTTGAGTATTCAATTATGAGTTCTTAGATAGGATAATTAGAATCATTAAATCAATAACAATAGTAACCACTAACAGAAATGATTGATCATCTAGAGACTTCATTTTTAACCAAATATGTAAATTTTTTAAATTTTCTCCTAAATAAAATATGACTATAATTTAGAATTATGGCTATTTGGAATAGATACATTAAGAATATCTACTATCTATATTCTTATATGCGTTATCGCAACCAGCACCATTATCTTGATTACCATCATTAAAATGCTCAACTGTTTTGACATTATTTCTATCTCCATATTAACAATAACAGATCTTTTAAGAAGTAGTATTAAATGAGAATGAAATTTAAGATTTTTGAATTCTGATGAGGGTTAAAATCCATAATACTTAATTTATCAAAGACTTAAAAAAATGATTTAAAGCACTAAAATATCAGCAAAAGATCCTTAGGTACTATATTATAAAGAATAAATGAAATATAAACTGGGTATTATCAGAAATTTAGATGTCTAATTAAAACTTAAAATTACCTGATTTTGATTTAACAAGTGAATCAGAATTTTATTATTTGTTATATATTTAATTTATAGAATAAAATAATATATAATAAGGTAATATTGAAATAAGATTAATAACCAATTAAAATTTATAATAAAATGATTAACATTATTGATTCAAATTTAAATACTTTATCAAAACTCAACCTTTATTAAGAAAAACTTGATTTAATTATGAAATAAAATGGTGATTCCGAATAATCTATAAAAGATTTATAAGAATTAATTGATGATGGACCATTGCCTAAACTAGGCAAAATTACAAAAAAATAGGAAGAAATAGGCAATTTTGCTATTGGATCATGTTAATGTTTTGTTGATGTGCAATATGTGCTTTTAGTGGTCGGGTAACCAATCCCTAATAGAATGCTCTAATTTTAAGAAGGAATTACGGGATATGTTATGTTCCGGGGAAAGGTATTAAAATGATTTAGAACTTTGGGATAAAGTAAAACGAATAATATGGCATATTTGCTTTACAGGTATTGATGAAGCTATTCATTTAGGTGGAAATACTTTGTATCATAATAAAAGTTGGAGTAAATTTATTTTTGAAAAAATCCTTAATACTACAATTGCGAAAGGTTAAAATAGTAGTTGTTTGATTACATATTTAATTAAAGAATCTATTCAAAATTTAAATAGCATTTTATAATAAATATCCGATTATACATTGATTATTAAAAACAAAGTTTAAATTTTCATATTGGCACCTTGGTATTTATGGATAAATTGATAAATGTTTTCAATTGAATAATTCAAAATTTTGAAGATTTAAAAAATGGTCTCTGTTAACTTAAAAATATATTAAATCGTAAATGGCTGAGATTGTGATATAAAATACTGTAGTTAAATATTACTCTTAATTTAAAAACTTAAATTATCATTAAATCATAATTTATGTTATGCTCAGATTTCTTGATTAATATTAATTAATTCCTTGTTTTAATTGTAAATCAATCTCATTATTTTTTACAATAAATAATTTTAAATTTTTTAGTTAAAATCACTAAAGCCGCTAACCCCTCTCAAAGTTTGAGATTTAAAATAATGGTCTTCAAAGACCTAGAAATTTATGCAAAGAATTGCAAATACTTCAAGATGCTAACAGAACATTAGAGCTATATTCATACATATAATTTGCCAACTCATTAGAATAGGCAACATCTGAAGAACTGGGAAAAGTAGAAACTTAATTAATTATCTAGCACATATTTCCGTCGCTCACAGCAAGCCACTCAAACGTAAAGAGCCAGAAACTTAAAATTTGAGTTTTAAAAGAAATTCTTCTAGAATTTGCAATTCCTTGAATACTTCTCATGAATTTGAAGATCATTATATAAAAAAAAAAGAAAATCAAGATATTATGATAATTTAATTACCCAAAAATAAATATTAATAGTTTATTTTCTAATTTATGCTATTGTAGAAAATTAATAATTTATTTATGATAAATATAATGGAAGCCGTCATATATACAAAATTGTCTTTATATTATT